TTTGGAACCTAGTTTAAAAAGAACTCCTCCAAAATCGGCCATGTTGGTAGTTTAGTAGCGGCTTGAAAGGGCGGTAATTTCACAACGAATATAAACTGTACTTAGGGGGTTCCGACATGACTTTTTTTTTTAAATAGGGGTCCGTTTTTAAATAGGTACTCGGGATTAACTCCTGAAACACCACAAACCTTTCCACGGTCGAATATATGGTCGACTGGTCGACACCGGCACGGCCGCGGGCGACTCCGGGCCCGAACCGCACATCGCCGAACGAAGCATCTGGGCTGGACCCGACGGGCGAACCGGACGGAAGGTGGACACGGAGGGGCGCCTCCTGTGGTCCGGTTTCTTGCTCGTGGACGCCACCACCCCGCCGCCGCTGCTGCTCAGCGAGTTGGCCGCCTTGGAGCTGAACCGGAGCGGAGGCGCGGCATGGTGGCGGTGTGGCGCGGTGGCGAAGAGGGGTGGAGTGGTTGGAGAGGTGGATGAGCTCTTTACAAAAATAATAGAACATAATAAATCAATCCACTCCTCGTTTCCATTCCAAATCCTGGTCATGGAGGAGGAACAAGTAATTCCAAGTGTACCTAAACCTAAATGGTTGGGGGTGTCGCGGCAACAAAAACTCCAAGTTCTGAGCACGCGAAAAAGACGCGAAAAAAACACCTGGAGATGGCTCAGCCACAGCTGAGCAACAATAGTGGCCGTCATATCCCAGCTAGTAATGAATGAGTAACATCACAGCACTTCTCGTGGTGGTTTGCCCTTCATTCATCGCTTCAACATATTGCTATGCCACTATAGTCACTATATAGTACTACTTGAGTGTATGACTTGGATTCTACTTGGATTTTATTTGGCTTCTAGATGGCTTCTACATCCATCTCCTCTACAAGCAACACCCACCAATCCACTCATAGTCAGGTCCTCGGTATCTGGCCTTGGAACGGCGCTGGAGTCGCCAGATGGGCAACGACATCCGCCTCTACCTGCTGGACGTCGCCGGTGCCGGGTTCGCGAGATCGCGAACGGTACTGATCACACAGAAAGAGAGGAGGAGGCTGCGTAATTATTCGATCATATTCGTACTTTTGGACTTGGGTGCTTATTATGGGGTTCATCATGTTGAGTTCAGACATTTCGAAGTAGTCACGCAAATATTTGTATAGCCGACCCTTTTCTGCTGAATCGGGCGGAGGTGCAGACGACGTGAGCAACTGCAAGGCGATTTGCGATGGAGATGAGTTGACTGAGCCATTCTCGTGTGCCTCTCGTATACTTTGCCATGATGCATAGACATTGCTGACAAGCTTATTTTGAAAGCCCGAGAAGAATGTGCTCTCACCTTTTGTTGGAGAGCAACAAGAACGAATCCCCTTTCGCATTTCGATTCGACTGGACTCGATTGCAGATGGCTTTGCAAAGTGCCAGGGCCAACGGTTGCTCTGAACTCTGGAGCGGCGAACAGAGCTGTGCGAACGTGCTGTGCGAACGTGGTTTCCGCGGATTGTTCGGGAATCGTCAGGGGTTCACCCAAGTTCACCCATCCCCACTCAGTCCAGATTGCCAGCAGACAGCAGCAGAAGACATAGAAGATTGTGTGTAAAGTGTACCAAAAACCATCAAACGTAGGCCGTATTTGCATACATGGAGCATCTGGGTTTTGTAACTACAAGACTTGGATGATTTTTCTCTACACAGCTGGGGCGCCCTGCGTCCCCTTCTTCCTCTTCCGGTTCCCGCGGATCCCACGGACCGAGGTCGCCCGGCGGGGGGACCGGAACGCCAACAAGAAGCCAACGGCGCAGGAGAAGGCGAGGGGACTGGAGCGGGGACCGTTGCGGTGCGCGTTGAAGAGGATGGTTTTTTTGGGTGGATTTCTTTGAGCAGGTTGACCCTGAAAAGGGATCCTGATCCTCAGGATCCGGATCCGGATCGGACTGACACAGATGAATCACGCCGATCTTTCCACAGTTAGTTTATATATAGTTACGGCCTCCTTGGCCTCCTTGGTTCTTTTTCGGTCTTGGAGCTTGGCCTTTGTCCACCTGAATGATTTGCAGTTTCCTTAATTAATTTCTGGTCACAGCTGTTTCTGATATTCTCAGATGAGACGACTTGACTCTTCAGGGTGCCTCAAGGTCAGACTGAGTCACGTGCCACTACTCAGGGTTGTTTCTCTTCTTGAAGGATCTCTACCAAGAACCTCGCCCCATTTCAACTCCCTTCACCTTCCAAAAAGATCAGAAAGATCAGAAAGATCACTGCACCCCGCACAGCTACTTTCCGACCAAGCAAATATCAACCACCCCCCCACCTCCCAGCACCTCGACCCTCCACGCGCTCCATGCGCGGCCCACGGACACGGCTACCGCCGTGTCTCGAGGCGCCGGCGGCCACGGTGGAGCTGGAGCAGGTGCTCTCTAAACGCCCGGACGGACGAGCCAAGTGGCTGGCGAAAGCCTTGGTCCAGGCGCGGCGGTCGGGAATGAGTACGACCGAGTACTCCCTTCTGCGGTTTGGATCTATCTTGCAGTCCATGTTTTCTGTGTATAAAGCCTATAGTGTTCCCGATCAACATCGACGTCCAAAACTGACGTCTCCACTCGTCTTTGGGTGTGTATCATCTGAAATCTGGTGCGGCCACAACTTTTTCCGGTCTGGAGTTCTCCATGGAAACCTTCTGTAACCGTAGCCATCCTCGCTCCCCCCGTCTCCCGCGCGCGCGCTCGCGTCTCGTGCGCGCGACCACCGCGGAGGCCTCCGATGGGCGGATGGATTCTCAGAGCTTGTACAGCGTGGTGGCGCACAACCGCTTCATCGAGGACCTCACCGAGAAGGCGGGACGTTTTTGGGTCGAAACGAGGTGACCGGGGCCGGTGGAGGGGGTACGTGGGGGCACGTGAGAGGTTTGAGGACCTGAGATGAGACGGGATTGGAATTGAAGCTCTTCGTTTGGGATTTCTTATGTTCAAATGTTCATTTGGGAGGCATAGTATGGTACCTGTACCTGTCCATAATTCTACACAATTCCCAGACACGACCTGTCTGGGATTCTCCTTTTGCCCGACAGATCCACGAGTCTTCTTTCGACTGAACAGCCGGTACAGTGGTTGCAGTGTCTGGGATGCTGGGGGCAGATGCCGATCCCGTTCCCACAAGAGCTGACCAAGCAAGGTCTTCTTGCTTGAACATCATTGAACCCAGCATCCGAATCCAACATCCATAGTTCTTTTTTGGGTGTGCCAGTACTACCCAACACTGTTTGGAGTCCGGAGTATAGCTGATCCCATCCTGCACGGACGAGCTGGTTCGTCCTTTTTCTCCGGCGGTATCCGGGCTTTCCAGCATTGCGGTCTCCGCGAAGTTGGAAGCTCCAGATTGCTGTTGAACATGTAATTAGGTCTCAGTCGCTCAGTGCATGGAATGTGCATGCAACTCCCAATTCGGAGAACCATCACTGGACCAACCTCATGCCCCTCGGGCGCAACCAGTCGTAAGCATCATCCGGCCAGTCGGGGAAGAAGATGTACCGGGCCTTGCACGCGAACCTTCACGTCTTCTCCTCCAGACAGAGGAAGTTCTTGGAGAAGGCTTGACGCGGCGAAAAGGCGTAGAACGGGTTTCTTCTGTGGAATTCGCGAATGCGCGAGATACACTTGCCGCAAAAAGGGACGTATCCCCTTCTGGTCCATGTGGGAGTGGACTCCTAAAAGAATGGTCATATCAAAGGAATTCATACCAGGACTGTCCAAGGGGTGACCTATTTATAGCCCCTTAGGCCCTTAATGGATGTCCATTAACCACCCCGACTGGGGGTCCTGGTACGTTTGTTTAGCAAGGCTTTGTAGATTATGTTTCCGAAGTTTTGCTTCTGATGGCTTCTGATTGCTTAGTGTTTGGGGGTCATCAATTGGGGACCACTTGGGAGGCTTTCACCCCTTAACGGACCCATAATCAATATGTTCGTTTTGTTTCTATTGCGGGTGACGAGCAAAACAGCCCAGCTTGGCAGTAGAACCTGCAGGCAGATTCATCGCCGGAGTGGGACCCCGAGTCGCAGTGGGGCGATCAAGCGGTGGAGTGTAGCTATAGCCCAGACCCTCCGTTCACTGCCACTGCTCTGGTCCCTCCAAACCCTAAGGATTTGAGGGTCCGGCCCCCACTGAATGGAGGGTCCAGGGTCGCGATTCGGTGCGCTCCACGACTCTACCAGTGCCCTGGGATTTTCGCTTCTCCGGCCGTTTGAGCGGGGAACCACAGCCCTGGGCGGGATCGTCATGTGCGGCGTGCGGTGTGAGATGATCCTTCTCGGCCGGTGGGCCGTGCGGCCAGGAATGTGCACTGGCCAGGCGTGGCGGGCGGTGTGATGGGGGGAAGTGGTACCGAGCCACAGCGCGAATCAGCTGGATCCGATGCTGGATCCAAAACACCGCTGTGAAATGCTGAAGATGGTTTCCGGTGAGTGAATCAGCCAGGTTGGAACCGAATTGATCATTTTTGAGTCTCTGACATGTTGGACTTGGGGGGCTGGACAAGCTTGACGTTTGGTGGACTGTGCCTGTTGGCTGACATGATGGGCCGACATGTTCCCCCAAAAAAACAACATCCATATAATTGTATCCCACTCACACATGGATGTGCTTCTCATGTTAACTGGTCTTCTACTTCCGACCGGTTGAGAACGTATGTCGCATCTTCGAAGAACGCAAAGATAAAAAAGAAAACGTGTTCTGGCAGGAACTCAATGTGAATTAACATCTATACCGGTATGGGTCTGCCCGTTCTTACCTGTAACAGTCTGTCAACAATAACGTTATCACTATTGTTGAAGAGTCATCCAGTCATCAGTCATCATCCACTGGGCCCTGGGAGTTTAGGATAGACCCCATCTATACCACCAGGGCTCCCAATCAAGGAACTCAACAAAAAGTCCTATTCCCAATGGACCTCAAGAATCTTCGCGTCCTAACGGACGCCACGGACGCCGACCTAACGTGAGCTTTGGGCTCTGCTCCGTCCGGCGAGTCCGGTTACGGATTGTGTCCGGTTTCTTCGGCGCCGAAGAATGGGATTGCTGGAAGCGACTTTCTTGGGGATGGCCGCTGTGTCAGCTGCAGCCTTTGATGGTTGGAACGACTTCAACGGGGTCGCGCGGGTCACCAACGCCGCGCACGAGGTCTTGTTCCAGAAAGAGTATCTTGTTGGATTCAACACTTTTCTGATTAGTCCATGCGAGAAAACCTTGAACCATCTTGGACTCAAACAGGTTGGATGTCTTTTTGAATCCATCAATTCGGAGGCTCAGCCACTCCATGAAAAATTCAGTCGTATGGCATCAAAATATGGGTTGACATCAGCTCCAATCAGCTGGGCTTGCAATACTTTTTTTGGGATTTGGATCCCTTGCCCAAAGTTCTTGATCCGGTCGTCCCAGGTATGGCTTCTTGAACATCCCTTACAAGGACCCCATGCCGGCTGATGCCATCTTCCCAGTGGCCTCCAACACGAAGCTCTACGTGGCCGTGGCCTTGTATCAACTGCAGGAGGCCGGAAAAGTGGACCTCAACGCCTCCATCGCCGACTATTTGAATGCCAAGGACTTGAAGAACTTCGGGATGCATGGAACAAGGAAGTATTGTCCCAAAGTTGCGGGATCTTCCGAGTGTCAGGTGAACCATTGCAGAAATCATGGAAGGGCACATAACGTATTAAAGCCTATTAACATCCAATAACCATAATTCTCATGGTCTGCATTCTTACTTGACCGCATAATTTCTTGTAGGCCGTTCGGTGGGTGTGACATCATCTACGTACTGTCACAATTGTTGATGTTCAATTTGAAAAGGGCACTTCCTTGAGAATTTTTGGCACTCCCAAACTCGGGACACGAATCAAACAAAAGCCCAAGGTTGTGCGCTTTGTGGACCTGCTTGCGATGTCCTCGGGTATCCCCAACCCTCCCTTCCGCGACTATTTCCTGCCCTATGCGGGCTCCATCGGTCTGACGGTGAAGCTCTTTATCAACCAAGACTTGCTCTTTATTCCGGGCACGGAGTACGATTACAGCAATAGCGCCTTCATTCTCGCAGGGTATTTCGTGGAGAAGCTCTCTGGAAAGTCGCTCAGGGAGTATTTGCAGAAGCACATCATCAGTGTACTGGAGCAGAGCTCAACGGAGTACGACCCCTATGACTACCAACTGAGCATGGCAGGAGATCGCAGGAAGAGGGTCTATGAATACTACCAATACCGCGACCCCAAGACCCATGAAATCTATGCCACCGGTGAATGTCGTGATGAGTTCGATCTTGGCACAGCGAATGGTGCCGGTGGCGTGCTTTCGACAGTGGCGGATGAGCAGCTCTTCTACTACACACTCTTTAACTTTTCCAAAGATGCCATGGGGAAGCCCCTGCTGCAAGATCCACGCTCCTTGATCGATCTCGTGCGTCCGCGCATGCCCACAAGCCCGGAGCAGAAGGGCGGCTACTTCTGGTATGCCCAAGGCTTGCTATCTCTTTGTAACTGGAGTGTTGATCATGAAGGCTGTGATGTGATTCCAAACATCATCGGCTATGAAGGTGGGCTGATGTGCGTGCACACTGCCAACCTCTTGGACTTGCACGTGCATCCCGCCGTGATGACCAGCGTCTACAGTAGCACGGTGGTGTTTGATGTGAAGAAGGCCCTAGTGAAGAAGATGCAAGCCAGCAAGACGGGCGACTTCCTCGAAGCGAGTGACAGGTGGCCCCAACAGATGGAAGTCTCGAAGATGGCCTGGAAGCTGCACAATGAAGTGCTGAACCAGAGCAAGCAACGGGAGAAGATGGAGTGGAAGGTCAGAGGCATTATCCTCCCTTAGTTCTGATATGTTCTGATCTACCGTACAGTCCGTTTCAATTTTGTCAATAAATTGAGTGTCCGTCGTTGGCCTCAGCTTTTGCAGGGTTTGGAGGCCTCAGGAGAAGGGCATTGAATGAGAGATAATGCGACCAACCCTTCCTAATTGCCGGCGAAGGCCGGCGAAGGTATCTCAGTCTTATTCGAAAGGACATGACAGTGAAGGACCTGTAGGTCATGATGGTGTTTGAAATGAGTTCTCGCTGAACCCACTCAGAAAGCTGGGAGCCACTGGTCGATCCTCGCTGTCGGCTGAGATGGTAGTTATTTGGACACACAGCCGACGCAGAGCTGCCCTTAATTTTTGGGACTCCTGCAATGAAGTCTTAAATTAGACATGACAATTCCGCAAGATCTTCAGGTGCATCACTCTAGTCGACCTGATACCTGATTTGATTTGTCTTGATGCAAGCTGACGTGACTTGATTTGGATCCAACATGTGAGATCTAAATGACGTGACGCAAAGAGGTTGCGGACGTGACTTGGATTGGATCCCAAACGTCGCTTTTTTCCGTCACCTCTCTTTCGTGGCCACCGTGACGGTCGGATTGCTCAGGCACAAAGGTCCTGAACGGTCGACCGGTGAAGGGACGCCGTTTGGGACGCCACGTTCCCCGTGACTCGCGTCCCGGAACGCGACGGACCGGTGGCAACCGGAGGTTTTCTGAGTGATGACCGTGACCGTGGCCCATCGAACGCGAGGAATAGTAGGAACCACCAAGGGTATTTGGCAAAACATAGGTTGATGTTGGTTGATGTTGGTTGTGCGTGTATGGTGTGGTTTTGAGGTGTTTCATGGTCAAGATGCTCTGGGTCGATCACTCTGACGCTGACTGCACTTCGAGCTCCCCGTGTCCACACGCGGGAAGCATCTGCTGTACGGTACCGGCACCGGAAAGGAAAAGGACTGCAGCTAGGTGACGTGCGCTTCCAGATGTCCATGCAGATCAGTGGGCTGAGTGGCTCTGTCTTCAAGTGACCGTTTCCCCTGGCCGCCATCCCATGTTGTCCGCATGGATGGTCAGCCTCGGATGGACCATGATGGACCATGGACGGTCACTTTGTCTGACCCGAAGTCTAACTCTTGAGACCCCTCAACAAACTCGAATTCCCCTCCTCATATCTCCTCATCCTATATCATCCTCATCTTTCATGACACACCAAAGGAGCACAACATCAATCCAGCCACCCCCCCGGCCCTCTGCTCTCGATGGGCTTAGCGGCTCGCCCTCCAACGGGCTTAGCGGCTCGCCGCATCTGAAAGGTGGACGACAACCAGCGGACCTCGACGACGACTCATGGTTTCGATCAGAGTCGTCTACATGGCCAGGTGTGTTTAAATAACCTACCCTCAACACCAGGACCCCCAGTCGGGGTGGTTAATGGACATCCCGAATCACAGCTAAGGGGCTATAAACAGACACCCCTTGGAGGGTCCTGGCATGTGTTATAGATAGCCTTTAACAACCCCTGGGGCCATGTTAAGGAATCTGCAGGAGGGGTATTACCTTTTGCTGGACCATGCTGGACCAATCGATCCCTGCTGGTCGAGGGGTAGGCAGTAGCTTCGGTCCACTTTTTAGAGCAACCTGACACTCTCACCTCGACTCATATGTGTTTTTTGTGCGTATTCTTCGACGTTGGCCGCAGGAAATATGCTGCCACCGCTTTTCAAGGAATCCAAAAGGACAATGATGAAGATGAGAGCACTTCTGGCATGCTTGGTCTTATCATCGACTTCGCGTATGTCATTCTTTTTTTCCACCGCTCTGGTCGGGGGGGCGTCCCGAGTGTTCTGCGAAGGACCCAAGGTCCTGTCAAAGCGACCGGGTGTACGAAGCAACTCGCTTCGTTCGGGTCCCTTCCCCAGGTGCACCGGTCATCCCAAGGCCCCACGAAGCCGTCTACTTCTGGACCCCAAACGAAGAATGTGGGTTTTTCGATGGTGCAAGGCTGTTCAAGTCAGCAAATCGATTCCTATGGGCGGGGTTTGGTAGTCACATGATGTCACATGTGTTTATTTACATGCAGAGAAGCGCCGGAACCGTCCAGAAACGCTGGAGATGGGTGTTTTAAGAGGTGTCCGGAAAGTCGTCTGAGGATCCGCATGTCGACATCCCATCCCAGCATGTGTTGGGTTGGTTACCATGTGGAGATTTCTGCGTTTCTTGGTCTCACCTGCTGTTCTTGCTGCAAGAAGGAGTTTCTCTTTTGCCAGGACAAGAGCAGGCGGCCAACGCAGTTGAAGACATGATGGCTAGGCGAGTGCCGGGCACTGTGGCCCATGGCCTCACTTGGGAGGGCAGACACTCATCTACCCAATGCACCTGGCAGTTCGGATGGTCCGCCCAAGTAGCAGCTGTGCAACTCTATAAACCTCCCCTGGTTTTGTTTATATCATCTCTTAATTAGTGCTAGGGTTTTCTTCGATCTGAACCTTCCTGTTTGCATGACACGTGCAACTTCAGAGCAGGCTCGCCTCCAGGCCGAAAAACCCAGGGTAGGCACACCTTCACCTTCCTGTTTCTTGTTGGTTTCCAACCTCTGCCCCTGCCACCAGTCCCTGCCACCAGTCTCCGATCTCGATCTCGAACTGGAAGACAGGTGTCGGGCCTTTGTGCGGGAGCGCCAGTCCGCGCGGGAGCTTGGGAGCGCCGGGCAGCGCCGGCGTCGGATTCGTACGACGTGGATGGGCAGATGGGCATGACAGGATGGAGTGGATCTGCCACGGTGGAGTTGATGTTGGTTGGACCCCAAAGAAAACATGAAGACAAAGGAACTACCAGGATTAGCTGGATTCTCAATGATTTTTTCATGGATTTCTCATGTAGAGTCTCCTTATGTCTCCTTAATATTGCTTTGGATCCATGTCTAACTCTGTGTATTTCAATAAAAAGACACATTCCGGTGGTGCCCCAAACAACCATGAGCACCATGCCACGCAGTCTTTTCGCCATTCGCAGTCCGTCACGTGCCCATCCTCGGTGCTCTGTTCGCCCATGAGGAACGTGGCGAACGCGCGGAGAACGGAGGCGCGTTCCGCGTGAACGGTCGGGTACCGCAGAGACGGGGAGCGGTTGCTGAAGTGATCTGAACTGGGGAAAAGGTGATCCCCACCATGGGACAGGGAACTCTACATGCCTCATGTTCAATTCAAATCCAAGCCTGCAGCCTGCCGCTGCCTTTTTCTTAAACATGTCAGCTTGAGTCGTTCATTTTTGAAAGACACGGTGCCGCCAGTTCTTCCAGGGTGATGTCTGGTACTCCAGACCGTTCGCATGTTGGTGGGTGTCGGGACGCCAGGCCCAACCTGCAGAAACACTCAACCAAATCCTCCACACGCCTGGCCTCGCTCACACGAGATTTTGTACAAGAGAACTCTTCCCCACCTGCAACTCTCGCCCCCAAAAACTATCCCGCGGGGTGCTCTTCATATCTTGACCCTGGAACCACCTGGAACCACCCTTTTCACATTTCGGACACCGCCCAGTCTGCTGCCACTGATCTCTGCCAGGTGAGGAGGGGGACGAGGACGGCGACCACCCTCCTCCGGCGCTACCCAAGGCGGAGGACCACCGGGAGCTGGTCCGGTCCCTTCGGTGGTGTGGAACGTGTGGGTTTTGGGGAGCCGAAGAACTGAGGGACGTGGAGTTCGGAGTCGAAGAATTGGACGTGGTGGTTGGTTTTTCTGAAGTTTTGGTGGGAAGAATAGGCAGCCTAACCGACTCCAATGGTGTATATGATCCAACTCTGGGCTTATGGTGGCTTATGTTTATTTGATTGTTTTATATTATTTATGTGTTCCTTTTTCCAGAGGTGGAGGTGGGTGCGGGGGGTGGAGGGTTGGGGATTTGGGGAGGGTGACCTGGAGGGGATGCATCGCAGGAGGCACCCGAGCCGCAGCCGCCGCAGCCGGAGGTGCCCAAGGCCAAGCTGCGCAAGCTGGTGGGAAGCAGTACGATGGTGGTTGGGGGGTTGAACATGTTTTTAAAACAAAGGTGCTTGCTGCTTGTACGGAGGTTTTTGGTTCATCATGGTTCATTTGAAAGCTGGTGGTCGCTTTTTTAGCTATCGTCTTTTTTAACGTTTATTCTCAACGCCCACCATGCTACAATGCTGCTCAAACCACACCTCCAAACTCCTCATCATCCGCCAATATCCGCCACATCTCCAGGTGGAGCCCACCGTGACGAAAGGCACGCACCTTTTTCGCGTGCGTTGTTTCCACCGTGGACAGCGCTCCACTCGTTTGTCTAAGTGGTTCCCCTTTCGTTCCCAGTCTGGGGGGAAGGCCGATCGTCAGTCCAAAGCTCCTGGACGATCATATCATCATATCGTATTTTTTGCACCTGGTCCCAGGCTCGAGTTGGTGGTGGTTCTAGACTTGGAAACTCGATGTTCTTGGTCCTGGCCTTGCAGCCTTGAGACTTTGTTCAGATAGATGCTTTAAGCCAGTATTAATACAGGAGTTATATATATATATATTTACTTAAGATGTTTTTTTGGTCCATAAGCTACTGCACTGATAGCTTTATAGTAATTAATTTAACCGTCAATTCGTTACAACATATTATAACATGCGTTTAAAGAACTTGTCAATTGTAATTGTATAATTGCACGCTTGGACAAAAAAAGAGGGGCCAAGGGTGATGTTCGGCGGGATTGCGAGCTATGTGACATCCTTGTTTCGTGACTCATGTGACCATGTGACGCTTCTGACCGTGACCGGTCGTGACGGTTCTTGACCACATGGGGCGGTGGGGCGGTCCATTCTGGCCAACGATCAACGCTTCGACCGACCGGTCTGGAGGCGTGGCGAGCCGCAGTCGCAGCGAAGGGCGGCTGAAGAAGGAGAAGGTGCCGTGGACCGCCGGATGGAGCGATGACCGCGACGGGCCCCCGGGTGCCAGGAAGGTCTAGCGGGAAGAACAGACACATATTGCTGGGCGATGTTGGTTCCACTGTAAATTAGATGCACCACTTGATGCAACCGCGGATGGATGATGTTGGCATTCTCTTTTGGCCTCATCCGACCTTGGGGGAACACCATCCACCATCGAAGCCGAAGTCTGGTGACTACTGAAGCGTGAGAATGGAGTGAAGAACCGGCAAACATCAATTAACTCCGGAGATCATTCTTCTAGACATTTCTAGACTAACTCATGGT